TATTTTACTTTGCTTAAACTTCAGTTTCAAATGAAAAAGTGATAAATTTTTTTTCTGCAGTGGTTCATTAATAGACGTGCATATTCCGGTTCATCAACAAAATTCAGTCCAAAAGTGTGTGAGATGTTAGGAAAAGATGAAATATAATTACAAAAGTGTTACACATTAATATAACTGCAAAGATAATTTCACAAGTATTTTTGACACTAATGGTGCCCCATATAATGCGGGTCAAACTGTGTAATTTTTTTTATTTATTGCTTTACAAAATAATGATTCTTCGAATGCATTATTGGGGTTAATGAAGATGCGTGTGAGTTTAATGGAGGTCTGTCTGATACATGAGCTCCTGGGGTTGAGTTTCACATGTTGAATGGACTGAACTTCACGTGTGAGTGTGAGTGTGTGTGTGAGAGAGAGAGAGAGAGAGAGCCTTGTTGTTGAGCAGCCAGTCGTGCTGTTCTGAGATCAGATAGGAGGAGATCTGCTGGGTCACCGTCTCCACGCACCGCTCCCTCTGCAGCTCTTTCAGACGCGAGCACACCACAGCCCCGAAGGCCACCAGACTCACGATCCGGCCCCAGTTGGTGGTGTCGTCTCTGAACATCGTCTCTGCTATAAAGCTGATGAAGCTCATGTCGTCTGCTTGAGATTCCAGCTGTAGACGCTGCAACATTCCTGCAGAAAACACTTAACATCAGCAACTCAACCCACATCATATATTCAAACTTTTTTTTTTAAAACACTTTTTACATTTCATTATCTGTCTTGTCAAATCTCATGCATTGATACAGACATCCAATTCAGAGCAATAGCATTGGTGGTTCCACATGCCCCGCCCCCTTTTTGATTGACAGCACATAATCACCTTGTTTTTGTGTGTGTTAATGCTCAAAATAACAATGAGAAACTAAAAAGAAAAAAAAGGGGTGCATTGATACAGACATCCAATTCAGAGCAATAGCATTGGTGGTTCCGCATGCCCCGCCCCCTTTTTGATTGACAGCACATAATCACCTTGTTTTTGTGTGTGTTAATGCTCAAAATAACAATGAGAAACTAAAAAGAAAAAAAAGGGGAACAAATCCAATATAAATTGGAAATAGACAAGTTTGGGGAATCACAAGTCACTACATATACATACATACATACATACATACATACATACATACATACATACATATAGAGAGAGAGATTTAATAATTTTGCTGTGTACTCTTGTCACTTATGTCTATACTGTTAATTTTTATTTACTTTAATAAATATTTTAGTTAGTACTTTTTATTTCAAGTATATTAAAACCATTTATACGATTTTAAATTTTAGTTTCGGTTTTTGTTAGCTACAATAACCCTGGGGAATCACAAGTCACTACATATACATACATACATACATACATACATACATACATACATACATACATACATATAGAGAGAGAGATTTAATAATTTTGCTGTGTACTCTTGTCACTTATGTCTATACTGTTAATTTTTATTTACTTTAATAAATATTTTAGTACTTAAGGTTTATTTCAAGTATATTAAAACCATTTATACGATTTTAAATTTTAGTTTCGGTTTTTGTTAGCTACAATAACCCTGTTGCAAACACTAATTTTGCAAATTTTTTTTTTAAATAATAAAAAGGGGTGCATGCAGTAATAACATAGTAACATTCAAAACCGTGCTATTTTTTTCCACATTCACTCATTAATGAGAAGTTGCTGATCCGATACAATACGGTCTTGTGAAATAACGATTCTTCTAACGCGAAAATAGTAGCGATTTTGAACTCTGGGTTAAGAAGGGTGAACGCTTTTTGTTGCGTGTTCTAATGTAGTTTAATCGTGTGAAGAATAACTCATGAAAACTCTAAAATTTGAACCTGTGAATAGAATTTCGCAATCGAGTGTACTAAACCAATCCGACTTTATATTAGACCGCATTCACGTCTTGCGCATTTCTATATTTGCGTGTTAAACCCGTTGGATTTCGTTCCACCCACAGCTTCTCTATAGCAGGCGGTGTTTCCGTGTATCTGACGCTCCGCAGAGGCGTGCTGAAGCGCTGATAAAGTTCCGAGAATCGCGATGACGTACTTGCGGTTTGACTAGATAATAAAAAAAAATAAGAAAATACAAAAAATTACCCTCTACCGAAAAACTGGTTTACAGGTTATTTACGCTCAAATTACTGCAGAAAAACAATATAAAATAATTAAAACTATAAAGTCAAATAAAACGGACACGTGATGCATTCCAGGAAAACGCGTAACATTAACGTTACAAACAAATACATGAAAAGTAATAAGTACCGGATAGTTTGAATATAATTGTGGACTATTACTAACAATTAGGCGATTAACTGACATCACATGTTTCATCCGAGTTAAAAAAGTCAAACAGCCGCTACATTGTTGCCGATTTCTGGGGGTTTTCCCGCGGACTTCGGTTACTGTAACACTGTTGCCGCTGGTTGAAGCGAGCCGAATAACGTGATATTTAGCCCCTGGAACCCCGCCAAAAAACGATGTTTACCGAGGGACTCCCCTTGAAACGCCATTGGGCTAGTTTTGAGTGCAATCGGGCGGGTTTTGTTGGAAAAACCTGGCAACCCTGCGCAGCTTTGTTTGGGGGGTATAGCGAGTGCGCATGCGCATGCGCTCGTCTTACCTTTGAATGTAGTCTCGTGCTTTAAGAGAACGTCCGCGACAACGCGAGTCATTGTCGGTAGCGCGTGATGCTGCTTCCGGTCCTGCGGACACATTCCGGTGTGCGTGCGGTAGAAATCCAACAAGAGCTGTCTCGTGTCGCGATCCAGTTCGGCGGAACCGAACTCCTGCGGGTCCGGTGTGTTCGGTAGAGATCCGTCCGCCGCGCAAACGAAGCGTCCGTCCAGTTGCAGTCCCTTCAGGCCGTTGGTTCCCGGTCTTACCGGCTTCACCGCGGCGTCCGGTTCATCCGCGCACCCGTCGAGCTCGTCCTCGCTCCGCGGTTTGAGTGCGGGCGCGGGCACGAGCGCCGTGTGCGCGCCGAGCAGACTGACCGCAGCCGTTCTTCTGACTAAACTCAGAGTCATATCTCCGCCCGCGACGCGATACAGAGCCTTAAACACGACCTAGACGAGTAAGATTAAAGCTTCGAGTCGGTCTGAACGTCGAAGGTTAAAGCTTAGTCTGTGAAGGTTATGGTGCAGATCGACACTCCTGCTCTCAGAGTGAAGCGGAAGTAGCTGCTAAGCTGAGCGCTTTTATACTCCGTCCTGCGTCCTGCGTGCTGCGTGCTGCGTCAACGTCACGGATTTTCCCCGAAACTCCTCCCCTTACACGGACTTTCCCCGGAATGCGCTTTTTGTGGGGCTCCGAGTTATTTCGAGCGGGCTGTGGGTGAAATTATTGGTCATTTTCGCCACCGCACATAAAGAAACCGTCGAGATATACAGTCTATGATATAAATAACGCGTTATAATATACGTTCAACTGAAAGCCAAGCTGTGAGAGAGAGGCGGTGAGGTCAGATGATTAGTCAGTATGTAAAAACACACCCTCTGAACCTTTACCCTCTGACTCACGGGCAAACCTGCGTTAATGCGGGTCAGAATTACATTTATGGAAACAAGATAGACTGTGCTTTAAGAAATTTCAATGATGTATATATATATATATTAGTGCTGTCGAACGATTAATCGCGATTAATCGCATCCAAAATAAAAGTTTTTGTTTACATAGTATATGTGTGTGTACTGTGTATATTTATTATGTATATATAAATACACACACATGCATGTAAGAATATAAATGTATATACATGTACATATTTTCAATATATAGTATGTTGTATGTGTGTATATGAACAGTATGATTTTTAATGTGTTTTTTTTAACGAAGTCTCTTCTGCTCACCGAGCCTGCATTTATTTGATCCAAAGTACAGCAAAAACAGTAAAATTTTGAAATATTTTTACTATTTAAAATAACTGTTTTCTATGTGAATATCTGTTAAACTGTAATTTATTTCTGTGATGCGCAGCTGTATTTTCAGCATCATTACTCCAGTCTTCAGTGTCACATGATCTTCAGAAATCATTCTAATATGCTGATTTAAGGAACATTTCTGATTATTATCAATGTTGAAAACTGCCGAGTAGAATGTTTTCAGGTTTCTCTGATGAATAGAAAGATCCAAAGATCAGCATTTATCTGAAATAACAAGCTTTTGTAACATTATACACCATAACATTCAAACGCTTGGAGTCAGTATCATTTTTTCAATCATAGAAATTAATACTTTTATTCATCAAGGATGCTTTAAATTGATCAAAAGCGATGATAAAGACATTTAGACACTGAAGACTGGAGTAATGATGCTGAAAATACAGCTGCGCATCACAGAAATAAATTATAGTTTAACACATATTCACATAGAAAAGTTATTTTAAATAGTAAAAATATTTCAAAATATTAGTTTTTTCTGTACTTCGGATCAAATAAATGCAGGCTTGGTGAGCAGAAGAGACTTCTTTAAAAAACATTAAAAATCTTACTGTTTTTTTGACTGGTAATACACACACACACATTTTTATGTTTTGTTTATGTATAGTTAAAATTGTGTGTGTGTGTGTGTCTTTCCGTATATAATTTCACTTATTTAAATGTAAAATTGTACACACACACACACACATTTTATTTTTGAACATTTTAAATATTTATACTTTTTAAAAAAAATTATTATTCATGACTTCCTGTCACTAGTGACCTCTGCTGGACATAATAACAATAACAGATCAGATTACTGGATATCTACAGCATTCACAATTCTTTACATAAAGTCAAAGGAGATCCCAGAGCAAAGCTTAACTTAATGTTAAATTTTATTTCAAATACTACCTTACACACACACACTGTACATTTGATAACATCAGGACGTTATCATCACCATAAATGTGTCCTCATACGTCACTATTCACTGTACAGTAGCATAGATTAATACATGTACATTATTACAGTCAGACACACTGAACGACCTCCTGCAGACTAAACTTCACATCACCTCAAAATCAAATTACTTATATATATACACATACACAGTGCTGTGAAAAAGTTTTTGCCCCCTTCCTGTTTTATTATTTTTTTGCATATTTGTCTCATTTGAATGATTCAGATCATCAAATAAGTTTTAATATTACACAAAGATAACCCGAGTAAATACAAAATGCAGTTTTGAAATTATGATTTCATTTATTAAGGGAAAAAAGCTGTGCAAACCTGCCTGGCACTACGTGCAAAAGTAATTGCCCCCGATAATTTATTATTATTATTGTCATTATTATTAATATAAAACAAAACAAAAAGCAATACACTGTAAAAAAAATTTAATAAATAAAAAGTTTTGAAGTTGCAAATAAAGATTACCGGAATAAATGTTACAAGAAAATACAATTTCAGTCTGTTTTTACACTGACAAAAATTCTAACATGTTTCATTAAACATGAAATTTTGAAGTAGAAAGACTGAAATATAGTATTTTCCGTGTACTTCAAACTTCAAATTCAGTGTGTTACTGGTCCTTTCTTTGCAATTATTTGTCAAATTTATTAGCATTTTTTTGAATTCGCACTAAATTTTGATTGCACTTTTGAATTCTACATGAATTCCGATGTTGCCTAGCAACAGCTCCGCTTCGTGTGGAGCAACAAACACAAGCTCTGGTTTGGGACGCGGCTGCTGTGTATTTTCACATTACTGTGTCCACCTCTGTGTGTGTGTGTGTGTTTATCCGGCCAGTTTGCTGGCGAGCGGCGTGGCTTTCCTCTGAGGGAGGTCCTGCGGTGTGGGAATATGGTCTCCTGTCACCAGGTTCTTGTCCGCTCCGGCCGTCACCACATGCTTGCTCTTCATCTTGGCCTTTGCCATGTTATAATCACCAGAGTCAAAGTATTTTTGCTGGAAAGCAAGAGAAGTTTGACATTGATTTGTTGTCAGTAAGTGATGTTAACAGCCTGGAAATCAAACCTAATGATGAACAGAGAGACGCTCAACTCACTCCTTTCTGGAGTCTCTTCATCAGAAAGTCCGAGCCGCCGGGTTTTTGTCCCAGGTTCGGATATCTCTCCTTCAGTTTGGCCTCTTCAGACAGTACTGGGTTACAGGGCTTAATAAAATTATGATTTTTTTTATTTTATTTTTTTTTACATTTTTTGTTTGTTTTTAAGTTGAATAAAAGTTCAAGAAAATCCACTGTTAAAAAAACTATTTAAAAAAATGCAATAAACGTATGATGTTTCTAAAGTCAATGAGCAATCATGTTAAATATTTGTGTTCTCAATATTGACCAAAATAAAATAGATTATGATTTTTGGCCTTATCGACCAGCCCTGACATAAAATCCTATTTATTTTCAGATAAAATACGATAAATTTAGCTGCACTGATCAGATGAAAATACAAACTTGAATTGAATTGATCTGAATAATGACACTACTGTAGAAGTGATTCACAGCCTAAATTGAATTTGTTTCATAATTGATGAATTTTACAACATTGCCACTTTTATCGTTTATCTCTCTTAAAGAACAACAACAACAACAAACAAACGAGTTTACATTTGACAAGCTGCAGCGTAACAACAAACACCAACCAATAGGAATGCGCTATCTATGTGACTGATCGACGGCTCAACCAATCAGAGCGAGGATTTCAGCGCGGAGTGGGCGTGACCTCCGCAAGTCACACTCAGGGCCAGCTAAGTCACGATTTCTTCCTGTTCATGTATTAACATCAGCAAATACCAGATAACATCACGGCTGCGTTTCAAAATGACTCGTTTATCAAACGCGTGCGGGGTTTGTGTTGTTTCACTCATTGATCGGTACCTGCTTCTCTTCTTCAGACTCCAGCTCCAGAGTGTCCGTGTCCGGATTCTCTGACATGATTCCCGCGACACGAACACTGAAAATGAAACCGGTTCTCCGTCAACAACAACGCGATTTTAACGCAGAAGGCGCGATTATTGGAGATTTAATGCAGCAATATTCCCTCAACACCAAAACGGCGAACGACGCATCTGACGTAAGCGGCAATGGGCGGGACTCAGAGTGGAAGTGGCCAATGAGAGCGCGGCGTGATTACGCAATGGTTTAACGACTTATAAATGATAGTTAAAGCTATTTCACTTTACTGTGTGAACACGAATTCGGAAAGTTACAGATGAATAAATATAATTAACTCAATACGAGTTCTCTGTATAAGATGATTTGGCATAAATGTAAATGCGTTTCACCTGCTGACCGCCGCGTGATGGCGCTGTTAAATCACCACATTTGTTTTGTGACAATCACATGAAATTATTTCAAAGGAAATAAATCTACTAAAACGGACTTTTAAACTAAATAATCGCCTATTATTATGAAATCGTGCCTGACACGTCGACTGTGGGTTCATATAAAGGTAATAAACGTCAGATCACGTTTATTACGTTAGATTTTATGAACGTATGAAGTCTCCGGTTTGTGGATCCTGGATCCGGCTGACGCCGGTGAACAGAACAGGTGCGCACGTTCAGTCAGCGTCGAGAGTTCTGATTGGAGGAGAGACGCTCGAGTGTATCCTGATTGGCTGAGCGGTCATAGGGGCGTGTCCGCAGGTGAAGTGCAGCGCTTCTAGCGTACAGGGAAGTGAACAGTTCAACAGACAAACATCTCACGTTGGACGTCATTATACATTTATAAACTGGCAGATGTGGTGAGTTGGAATGCTTTTTTGGGTATTTTTTATTTATTTGTTTATTTTGTTATAGATACCCTGATACACATGTAGAGAAGTTTTTTCCTACAAGAATTGTTTTTCTACCTGCTTGAGTGCTTCTGAAAGTCTGAGGATTTCTTTTAACCTGTAATGCTTAATGTGCTTTTGGAGGGTAACTTTAACTCCTAAGGAGTGATTTCTAGGTGATGTGGTTGGTAAAGGTGATGTGGATGTTGGTGGAGGTTTTATTAGCAGGGAGGAATGAGCACACTGACCAAGAGGAGCCGGCGCTCTGAGGCTCCAGCGGAGCGATGGAGTAACGCTGAGGAGAAGGAGGAGAAAACAGACGGCACGGATGAGGAACAGGACACTGACTCCAAATCACTGAGACTCACTCTGATGGAGGAGATTCTGCTGCTGGGGCTCAAAGATAAAGAGGTTACACACACACACACACACACACACACACACACACACTCACACACACACACACACACACACACACACACACTCGTCTGGTAAGACTGGTCAGGTAGTCTTTCAGTCCTGGAGCTCATGCAGTGTCGTGTAATGGTTGAAAAATGCTACTCGTGTTATTCTGCAGAAATCAGGTTCGACCGGTTATGAGCGTCTCAAATCTCTTTTTCAGCCGAAGTGAGTGAAGTCGAGCTGCTCTGTTTGACCAGAGATCACAATAAAACCACACAGAAAGAGAGAATGGAGATTTACACACGGCGAAAGACACTGCAGAAAATGAGCTTTGCATTTTAAAACTATTCAGATGTCAGAAAGAGCTTTATTACTAAGTATGTTTACAAACACAAAGAATTTGACTTAAGCTTCCAGTGCAGAAGAAAATACAGACATACTAGTGCTGTCAATATGTGTGTGTTCTGTGTATATTTGTTATGTATATATAAATACACACACATGCAGTATATATTTTGAAAATATTTACATGTCTATATTTATATTCATATAATTTATATTATAAATAAATATATTTAATATATAAACAACATATTTTTCTGAAATATATACATGCATTTGTGTGTATTTATATATACATAATAAACATACACAGTACATTGTGATTAATCATTTACATTTAGTCATTTAGCAGACGCTTTTATCAAAAAAACGCGACTTACAAATGAGGACAATAGAAGCAATCAAAACTGCAGCAAGGTTTTTTAAATAATATAAAAAAAGAAAAAGAAAACAGATAGAATAGAAAAAGAATAGAGAAAGCTAGTGTTAGAGGTCTTTTTGCTTTTGTTGCTTGAGATCAAAAGAGGCAAGCAGAGTGTGGAAGTCTGCAAATGATTCGTGATACGCAATTCAATTGGAGCCCTTCGAAACAATCATATTGCGACGCAACTGATTCTGAGTTTCGAAAAGCTCAATTTCACCCATCAATATACATGCTTTTTAAAATCATTACAAGCGATGTCGAAATTTGAAAATGAATGGGTCTTTCAATCGGAGTGGTTCTTCAATCGGTTTGTCTGTTCCTCCACTTTTCTCGTCTTCAGTCATGTTTACACGACACTGTCAGCACTACTACTGGCTTAGCTCGCTAGTTTTATTTTATGACATTAACTGAAATAAGCCAAAAAAGTATGATGTTTACAAATAAAATATCCATATTTCCATTCCAAAGGTAACAAATCTACGAACATATTCAGGTGAGGTAACCGGTTTACTGCTAATTAGTGAAACGCTAGTGAAAAGTTTCACTAGTGAATCTAGCAAAACATTTTAACTACACTCTAAAAAATGCTGGGTTAAATACAACCCAGTGCTGGGTAAAATAGGGACAAACCCAGCAATTGGGTTGTTTTGACCCAGCGGTTGGGTTAAATGTTTAACCCAACCTTCTGGGTAGTAACCCAACCGCTGGGTCAAAACAACCCAATTGCTGGGTTTGTCCCTATTTTACCCAGCACTGGGTTGTATTTAACCCAGCATTTTTTAGAGTGTAAAATAGGCCACCTATGTTACATCCAGGGTTAATTTATTAAAGAACAAATATTTTAAAATGTACAGTTATATGCTATACATTGTGTGCCAGAAATATAAATGAAGAGTTCATATGCAAAAGAACCAATTCATTGGCATTCAAGTGAAATTACTGAAGCTACACATAGGAGCAATAAAATAAAAATGCTCATTTTAGGAGAAAATTTCTAACGGCACTTAGAGTCTTTTGCATCTGAACTCTTCAAATGTTATTTGATGTTCTTAAAAGAAATAAAATTCAAGGTAAATATGAAGTCCGACAACAAATAACAAAAAATATAGCCTATATTAAAAAAAAAAACATATTTCCATGATTGCGCTCCATCATGCACACACATCGTTAAGTGGTTTAAGTTTAACAGTGACTCGATTGCTGATAAAACAAATTGTTTGTGAATAGAAAGTACAGAGAGTATGTCACCGAGGGTGGCGTATCGTGGTTGTTTCGGTTCGCTTTTGAATATTTTTACACTCCTAACAGATATATTGGACGAAGCCCATGTGCATTAAGTAGGCTATACAGATATACTGTAATAGTTAGATAATCAGATCGAGAGATATTCAGATAGATGTCTGTATACAGTAGATGGGTCGGTTGGTATTAGTTGTTTGATGATAATCGCAGGAGTGTGTTCAGACTTGTGAATTCTGCAGGTGTGTCTCTGCATCTGTTCTTGTGTAAAGTCTCTGAGCAAACTTCCTCGTAACTTGGTGAATATAAAACTTGTATCTGTCTTTATCTGTGTGTATATATGTGTGTGCGTGTGTGTGTGTGTGTGTGTGTATGTATGTGAGAGTGTGTGTGTGCGTATGTATGTGAGAGTGTGTGTGAGTGTCTATTTATGTGTGAGAGAGAGTGTGTGTATGTGAGTGTGTGAGTGTGTGTGTGTGTGTGCGCGTGAGTGTGTGTGCGTGTGTGTGTGTGTGTGTGTGTGTGTGTGAGAGTGTGTGTGTGTGTGTGTGTGTGTGTGTGAGTGTGTGTGCGTGTGTGTGTGTGTGTGTGTGTGCGTGTGTATGTGAGAGTGTGTGTGCGTGTGTATGTGAGAGTGTGTGTGAGTGTGTATGTAAGAGTGTGTGTACGTGTCTATTTATGTGTGTGTGTGAGAGAGAGTGTGTGTGTATGTGTGCGTGTGTGTGTGAGAGTGTGTGTGCGAGTGAGTGTGTGTGTGCGAGTGAGTGTGTGTGTGCGAGTGAGTGAGTGAGTGTG